CACCTCGGCAGCGGTGAGTGCCAGGCCGGGCCCCGGTGGGGCTGACAGACGTCCCGTCCTGTCCCCATCCCCGTCTGCATCCCCGTCCCCATCCCGGTCCCCGTCCCCATCCCCGTCCCCGTCCCTGTCCCCATCCCTTGGTGCTCCTCAGTGCACCTGGTCCCGTGGCGGTCGCCTGGGCTGCTGCAGGAGCCGTTTCCCATTCAAGCCCCTGTACCTGCCCTATCTCCCCCAACCCGAGCATCTTCATCCCACGTCGCAGCCTCTTTCAGAAACCCTTTTCCTAGTGCCCAGAGAGGTGAAAGGGAACCACAGTCAAGAACCACCCCTGCCACACGCTTGTCACTGCCACCCGTCTCTTCATCCTTTTGCTCCTAACCCCCTTCTGCTGTGCCATGCTGGTGCTAGGTCCCAAGCTCTTCCAAGTAAAGGCCTGTTGCATCTTTCTCTGTGAGGTGATCTCTGTGGTTTTGAACATTTGAAAAGTGGTAAGTGCTTTCATTAACATCCCTTTCGGTTTTCTAGGCGGTCAGTGCATTAGCTGGAGTTCAGGACCAGCTCATTGAGAAGCGTAAGTCACTTTTTCATTTCTCTCAGAATTAGAAGGAATTACACTTGTCCCCACCATTCAGCTCTGTCTCCAGTTGCCTGGATCCGTGCTGCGCTCGCTGCTCCCCCGCAGCGCTCTGTCCAGGGACCTGCGGCTGCTCCTCTTAGGCCTGCTCCTGAGCGCTCCCAGCACAACCTCTAGCTACAGAATTCAGCAAAATGGCAACGTGAGAAACAGAAGTAAAGTTGAGCTTCCTTTCTCGAGTAAACTTTTATGCTCAGCAAGGGTTTCTTGTGCATAAAACTTATTTAAATGGACTTAGTGCTCTTTGGAGAAAGAGAAGAGCTGAAGCAACGCGTTTCTGTTTGTGTGTCTGTCAGTCAGTTGCAAGTGACATGGCGGGGAGCCACTTACATTCAGGATTTGTAAAAATGTTTTGTAGTCAATACCAAATGGGATGCAATTCTAGTGTGCTTCAGTTGGCCGAGGAGGTAGCTTGCTGTCCTTCAGAAATACTCTTCAGGTTCTCTTATTTACCTCCGGGTGCCATGAGGCTCAGCATGGCTCTGCTTCCCCGTGTACTGTTGCTGGGGGTTGCTTCGTCCGTGCAGGGCTTTGCCAGGGCAGCCTGGGCTGCGAGCTGCGGGGAGGTGACCGTCGTGCTTGTCTGTCTTTGTTGTGCTCTAGGGGAGCCAGGCAGTGGCACAGAAAGCGACACTTCTCCAGACTTTCACAATCAGGAGAATGAGCCCAACCAGGAGGATGCTGAGGAGCTGGATGGGTCTGTGCAGGGGGTGAAACCCCAGAAAGCTGCTTCCTCTACTTCTTCTGGAAGCCACCACAGCAGCCACAAAAAACGGAAGAACAAAAATCGACACAGGTTAGTGGTACCAGCAGCCTTCTTGTCATGCCTTCTGAATGGTTAGCTGTTGTTGAATTTATTATGTGAAAGGAACTGGTAACTTGTTAGAACAGTGAGCAGCTCAGGTCACATGTTTTGGTAATTTCTCTGGTTTTTAGCTGTATGCATCCTGTAGCGTTCATCAGGAACTCATTGTCCCCATTGTATCAAGGAGGAGAAAGCATGCTGAGAAAGTTAAGCAGCAGTCGGCGCAGGGTACTAACTCCAGCTCTGGTACAGCTGTGCTTCTGACCTGGCCTTTTCAACTCCTGTCTGTCCAGGAGAATAAAGCTGTCTTCCTCCGTAGAGGAAGATTGCCATCCTGGCCTCCTGCACTTGCTTCTTGGTCTCTGCAGAACCAAGTAAGATAGGAATGTCAGTACTTTCTTTGGAAAAGAAGGGTGAAACGGCAAATTGGAATGTTTTGGGGGTTGTGGACATTCTTCACTAAGATTTCCACTCCAAGCCCTTTCAGTTTTCAGTGTCTCAAACTGAGTCTCTTTTGATTATGGCATGGAAGAGTTGCTTTGTCAGGTTAACCTCAAAGTATTATTAAACTGACCTGAAATTCATGTGAAACAAAGCTTTTCTGAATTCTTTAGGGTTGAATTTAGATGACCAGTTCTGCCCCTTAAGGTATGCCCCTAAGGCATGATGCAGCACGGCGGGCTGATGGCTCAGAAATCTGAAATAAACTCCCTGCCTTACAGTGCTGCCTTCCATGGGCCAACATCAGCTGCCGCTTAGTCGTGTCTCGGTGCCCCTCGGCAGAGCTAGCCCAAGCGTTTCTCCAGAGTACGACAGTGCACTGTGGAGTCACACCCTAAGGGGAAAAAAAACCCCTGTGGAAATCCACGCTTTTGGAAAGAGGAGACGCTGCAGAACTGCACCTCTCTGGAAATGATTGCTGGAACCTAGAGATTATTAGAAGTAAAGGAGCTTTTAAAAATCAAGAGTTCTTGCTAACTTTGACCTTGTTGGCTTTGTGTATGGATGGGCCTTCCTCTTTAAGGGACCTTCCCATACAATTACAGAGAAATGTTTTACAGAAAAGTGTTAAAAATTTACAAAGATTGCTGGGGGAAGGTTGGTTTGGGAGATATGGAGGTAGGTACAGTACTTGAAAAATGTTTAACTACTTTTTCTCCTTCGTTAGGTTTTGAGTCGCTAGTGTGTCTAATTCTTAGATCAGAATTTTCTTCCTACAGCACTCTTAATTGGGCAAACATCCTAAAGTACTGGATGTCCCTTTGGTTCCTCATGCACTGGGAATCCAAAGCAGTTCAAAACTCTTTCTTTGCCTGTAGACAATTCAAAGGACGTTCAGGAATAACGCAAGGAACTACATCTGTAAACAAGTTCAGAGAAACAATCTGTAAAACTGAAGTGCAGCTTAAGAAAATTGCCATTTTGAACAAATTATAAAATATCCTGCTAAGCACTTACGTGGACAGCAAACCAATCCACTGCAGACGCAGTGGGCTGCAATATGAGTGCTGTGAATAATACAAATTATTTTGCTCCGTTGCATAACCCGAACTTTAGCGACAGGAGTTGGGAAGAAGCTGCCCTACTGACAGGTTGTGTTGCTTTGGGGTTTCTCCTACATTCCTTCCGCTGAAGCAGCTGATGCTGGCTACTGTCGGGGACAGAATGTTGGACGTGAGGAGCCCCGGTCTGATCTGGTATGGCAATTCTTACCATCCTAAGAGATACATCAGACACATCTACATTACGGAAAGGCTTTCGCAGTTAGTAATGGACTATTTTGTAATGCTTAGCATGGCCAGATAGGTAATTGAAAGAAGAAGATAATTAAGTTTGTCTGTTGTAGAAACACTGTTAAAATTGTAAATGCAGTTACTGACTGTCCCATAAATTTTGGCAGAAAGGTCCAAACAATTTTCAAGTGTATCTAGGTTAAAAAAAGCAAACAACAGAACGGTCCCAGCCTACTGAAAGCATAGCTAAGTGCTTTAAAATGCATTGCAGCCCAGAGTGCTCTTTAGGAAGAGACCCACATGTCTGTTTCTTGAGTGTCATGGAATAAAAAAAAAAAAAAGGCAGGAAAAAGAAATATTGGCGTTTCTTTTTGTTCAGAAGCTCTTCCATTTGCCAGCATGTTTGAGTTCTGCTCACCTGTTCCTGAAGAACTGGGAGGTGTTGGGAACAGGCACCCTGAAGGTGCGGTGACTCCACTGGGTTTTCTACCTCATAGCTGCCGAGAGCAGTGTGGACAGCGGGATTCAGACTGGGCAGAAGCAGCGTGAATAGGCAGTTTAACTTTGAACAGTTAAAAACAGGGAAGCAGATCAAAGTGACAGTGCCTTTATTGAAGTCATCCACTGTTCTCTTTGAGACCACAGGAAGGCCACGATGATCATTTTCTGTGTCATCAGCAATTTTCATGGCTAAAAAGTCATTTCAGGAGAAAATTCAGTGCTGAAAAGCTACTAAGTTACAGCTGATTTGACGATAAGTCCTTTCCAACAAATACAGTTGTGAGCTTTGGGGCAGAACTGTTTCTAGGGCCAGTGCTGTGCTATCCGTGTGACTGCTGAGACGAGGGGTGGGAATGTCACCAAACTCTAATTAGCTTTGGCCAATTGACCGTGTTCTCTTTTTAGCTCACTAAAGGAGGCGAGTGCAAGAGGATGTGTGTGTGCGTGTGCATTATGAGAATATTCGAATGCAAAGTTGGCCACTCAGTTCTGTGTGGTCTCCACCTCTGCCTGAACAAGCTTTGCTTTGCCGTAATGATCTAGACAAGGCCACTGCTTTCTGACCACCCGCTCGTTTGTTTTTGCAAGCAAATCAGTTTTTCTCTGCCTGTGAGCTAGTGTGCACTCTCACGTATCTGATAGCTTCCTTTTCCAGCACCCAAAATTCCCTCCGTAAAACCACTCTGCCTCTGTTCTAACACCTCTTTTTCCCAGAAATCCAATTGGGGAGGGGGACTCTGGATTGCCAGATCTGGAGTGCTTTTTGTGCCCAATTCTGGTTAAGATATCTTAAGAACTTTATGGCATTTGAACACTGGCTTTATTATTTTTTATTTTATTTTATTTTTTAGTAATCTCGCTAGGGTGGCTAATCAACTAATTTATTTAATTCATTAGTATATTAATTTCTATTGCTTTCTTCCTTTCAAATGCTGCCCCTCAGCCCGTCTGGCATGTTTGATTATGACTTTGAGTAAGTTTGACTTGAATTAGTACTTGTGCTGTGTTGTTAGTGTGTAGACACCAATGTGCCTTTTGAGACCTTTCTAACCCATAGTTTATCTGTTTAATTGTAGGTATGTATATTAGGTTAGGCTGGGAAGTTTTTTTTAAAAACAGAAAAGCGTGATGGAGGTAACATTTTATTTAATAACTTCAGCAAAATTAAATTAACTTCACTCTTCTTTACCTTTCTATTTCATTTTTAAATAGATAAACTTTTTAACTTAAAAACTTAGTTTACAAACTGATTCTTCTGGCTTTGCTTCTTAAGGAGATTAGTGTAGACTTGGATATTTCCTTCTGGAAAAATGTAATAAACTCAGTACCTTTGACTCCTATAATCCCTGTCGTCTTAAACTCCTATCTCTAGTCCAAGTAAATAACTGTTACCACTATGTCTGAATAATTACCTGTGGCATAGTTACACACCTAACAAATTAACATAGAGCATGCGTATTTAACCTTACTTCTTTATGCTGCATAACTTCCCTGTGATTTTTATTATGAACCTTTATTAACTCTTTTCTTGAGTGGACGGAATATGCATTTTGGCAAATAATAAAGAATCCACTCTCCATCTCTTTGCTGCTCTCTTGTCCAGTAATATTGGGACAGTGATTTGGCTCAGCCGAATTGAGAATGTGGATTGAATTAACCAAATAGTCTTTGTTGTAGCCTGTGCCATATGCAGTAGCTGGTTCTTTGAACTCTAGTCTTGGTTTAATGTATTGAAATGGACATTTCTCTTATCTTTCCAACCACAGGATTGATCTCAAGTTAAACAAAAAGCCAAGAGCCGTAAGTATCAGTGCTCTGTCGTTGTTTTCATTGCTCATCTGTAGACTTGAGTGGCTGACTGACTCCTAATCTTAAAAAGCCTCCCTCTGCTGTAATTTAAGATCTTGTTTTCATGGTTGAGGAATATCATGGTATGAAATAAGCGTTGTCTTGTGGATTTGACAGTAAATAAGCCCAGGTAGGCTTGTTATGAAGCTAGGTCGCAGTTAAGTCCTATGCACTTTTTATGAAAAAAGCTGTTTTGCGTCCTATTATCTTGTCATGATCTGGAACATTAAAAGCATCTGGTTTGAGTCGACGCGTTCTTGAACTAAGGTTTTGAAGGGTCCTTCTTTTGAGTATTTAGCTACAAGAAAAAAAATCTCTTTTCTGTTTTGCCTGCAACTAATGGTATGTAGAAATGAGAGAAGACTGAGAATCCCAGCTCTGCAAGCAGGATTGAAAGTAGAAAGGTCTTAATGTGCCTGTCCTTTCCTTTCCCTGCAGGACTACTAGAGTCATCGGTGCTGATGCTTCTGGGATTTAGGTCTCCATGAATCCCCACTGAGAAAAATGCCAGTCGACTGAATGAGCACGATGGCAGCTCTCTGGCCAAGTGTCTGCAGATGGGAGTGGCTCACTCTAAAGAACTTAGCTGGGGGGAGAAAATCTTGGACCATGTACTTTGCATCATTTTTAAGTCACCTGAGTTGCAGGAAGACTAAGGTGTAGTAGTAGTAGTAGTAGTCCTGAATTCCTGACTATTCTGTGCTTCCACCTCAGTCGGGAACTTCCTAAAATTGGCTGATCTTGCTGCTGCCACCCCTGTCATCTGCAAACCCATGGAGAGGTATTTCTTTTTCCACTGGAACTGCGGTATGATTCAGTATGTCCCATCCATGTTGTAAGACTTAGATTACTTTTGTTGCTGATAATTAGCTTTGTAGTTTTGTTTTTGTTTTGGTTTTTTGTTGGTTTTGTTTTGGTTTTGTTTTTTTTAAAACCAAAGCATATAGTTAACAAATTGACTTTTGGTTTCTTTGTTTTAATCCATGTGGAGTGGAAGGTTCTTCATTTTGTGGAACAGCTCATTCTGATTCTTACTCAAGCAGAGGAGAAGGTGGTTAACCCTTTTCTCTAATTTTAATTTTAAACACCGTCCCCTAAAATTTATGCAGTGCTTTTAGATGCAGGGAAGGCTGGAGCTCAAAGCCATCTTGCTCTTTGCTATCTTTGAGGTTGGGTGGATTCTCTTTTTAATACAAACTTCTGTCATTTGTACATAAACAATAAAAGTTACATGTTTGTCTCTCTTCTCACGTTTTGTTCCATCCAAAATTTGACTCCTAGTGCTTTTTATTCTCCATCTGCTTTTGAGGACTTTGCTGGAATTCTGCTTTTGCATGGTAGCTATTCCTTGTCTCGTGACCCTTAGGAGGTTTCCTTTGTGCTCGCTTCCCTCTGGTAGATGTAACATGGAGTACTTGAAAGGAGTGCCAGGCACTAATCTTGAGCTGTGTTCAACTAATCCCGCTCCAAGGTAGGACTTGGATGTAAATCACTTCTTGCTGATACTGGCAGGATGCCCGCAGATAAGGGATGAGCACTCTGGATTGCCACTGGCAGAGTACACAGAGGAATGGGTGTCAGGTGCTTTTCACAGTAGCCAGGTCAAGATATCAATACTGATGTTGAAATAGGCTTTGCTTTTCTCAAAGCGATAAACTGCCTTTGTTACCGGTGCTGTAACGCGTTTGTGTCCGCTTAAACATTGCCGATGGAGAGAGTGCCATGGGAAAAGTTGTATCGCTTACAGCCCCCAGTACGTGCCTGTGCGCTGGTTACAGCGGAGCGTTCATTCCGTTCTGCTGCACCTCTGCTTTCCTAGCGTCTCGGGGTCTTTTTCAGCTCCCTCCAGGCAACCCAGTCGATGCAGAGCGGTGCCTGAGAGCGAAGGCAAATGTGTGGGACTGAAGTTCTTCGTTCTCTTCTCTGGTTCAGGGATCAAGGCAGCTCCGTATGCGTTCCTGGTTGGAGCTGGCTTATCCTGCAGTAGAGCGAGCGGCTGGCACTCTGCTGTCAGGGGCCGACGGCCGTTTTTCTGCGGGGGGTCGGGATTGTAAGGGCTTAATGGGAGAGCTGCAAAGCTGCCCTACTTTTTTGTGTTTTAAGTTACAGAGGTTAAATACAGGGGGGTGGAAGATCTAGGAAACAGCATCAACTAAAAGGTCTTGCCTTTCCATAGTTCTGGAAAAAAGAAGTCTTAGCTGATGGTTTTTGATTACTGGGCTTTGGTACAAAAGCAGCTTTTCTCCCACTACTGCTGCCATTCCAACGCAAGGATTGCAGGAGCACCTGAACTTCAGAGGGTAAAAATCTTTGCTGCACCTCTTTGACCTCGAGGAAAGCTGCTGTACCTTTTTGGCCAGAACATTCACCTGCAGAGAAATAGCAAAGGGCTCATGTAGCTCGGAGTCCTTGGTGTGTAGGTGGTTTTTTGTAGCAAAGTGTCGATCAGCTCCGCTTTCCCTGTGATACGCATTAGGGGTGCTGTGGGGACAAGGGGAAAATGCAACCTTTCCAGCCTCCGGCAGTGTTTGTCACTAAAGGAAGGGGACAGCCTGTTCTGATGAGGACGATGTCTGATGGCAGCAGCCCTGGGGAGCCAGCGCATTGATCAGGGCAGAAAGCTAAATGGCAAACGTTTGGGTCACAGCTAAAGGAACGGGGTTGGGCTGATACGCAGCTATTCCCTCCCAGGTCCTGGTGACTGGCAGCAGCCCTTTTTTGGCCTGCCACAAGACGGGTGAGATGACGAGGCTGTGGGGCCCGGTGTGGTCTGCCCCAGCAGTGGGGACAGTTCCTTGTCCCAGAACAAGACCTGATAGCTGCGGCTCTGCAGCACCAGTGGTGTCAGTGGAAGGAGCGGGGAGGACAGTGGGCCGGGACCCCGATCGCTTCAGGAGCATGAGCACTATCGCCTACAAGAGTGTCGTGAGATGGATGCTGGAGTCTGACTCTGGCAGTTGTGCCTAAAATGTCTATTTTATTTCTGAAGACTTCTATTTTTCTTCCTAAACAGCCTGCGTGACTAAAGATAGCTAGTGCCGGGCCTGGGACATGGGAGTCAGAGTGAGCTGCACAGGTTGATACCTGAATGGCAATGAAAGCTAAAAGTAGCAGTTAAAAATAAATCACAAGTCCTTTGCTTGCAGAAGATGAATCCTGAGCAGAGCGAATGAGGGGTGGCAGAGCAGCAACTGTCCTTATGGCCACTAAAGGTAGGGCAGGAGAAACGCTAATCCCCCGCACAGCCTCGTCGCCAAGAGGATTAGGCAGGAGTTTCGCGAGCCCAAGCAAGCGGCCGAGCCGCAGCCAAGAGCTGACACAAGGGAGGAGGGGCAGCAGCCACGTCAGGGAGGGGGTCCACGCGTGGTGCAGCGCCAGGTAAGGGGGCAGAGCCGGGGAGGGGGCGCAGATGCCCTGCTGAGCACATCCCACGTGCTGGGATCTGGCCCTGCAAATGCTCGCCCGTCTTTCGCTAGCCTGGCACTCAAGCTGGGCTGGACATCGGCGTGCAGCAGTGCACCACGCATCCTTCTGGTGCACAGAGCGTGGCAGGTGCGTGAGGCAGTGGCTCCTGGG